TATAAATACTTATTTTACTATAGTTATAACTATATAATTTGTGTTTCCACACTATTTACTTACTTAATCTCTTGCAAATTATTTAATAATGATTTGGTATTATTTTAAATCAATGTCCAGTTCTATATTATACCTAGCTTGTTTTCCATTTCAAGTTTCATTTTGTTTAATTATTCCAAATTTGCTAAAACAAAAATTTGCCCCGAATTTGAAAACCTTATATTTGCGTCAATTTGAATTAATAATAGAAAGTGATCTCAAAATATCAAATATATTTTATTGTGCGAAAACTACCTCACCTGAAAGATACAAAACAATGTGAAGAAAGTGCTCTCAAAATTTCGAAACTCTTGCATTTGAAATGTGGAAGTTTTACACATGCCGGATACGAATTACAGAAAAATTTTATTAACTCGTGATTTCATAAACTTCAATGCACTTCAATTCTTGTATAACAAATTTTCGTTCACTGGTTTAACACTTGTATAACTTAATTTTATTTCACCTGATTACACATCGATTTTCATAAAAAAATATTAATAAAATTATAGAAATTTTATAGAAATTAAACCACAGGAAATTATAAATAACACTGTCTTGACTATTTCTTTGCAATGATGCCGAAAATTTTCCTATATTAATTAAATAATTTAAAATAGTATTATTAATTATATTATAAAAAAAAAATTAAAAATTCCTTGAATTAATAGTAATTTTAGCCGGATAAAAACTGAAAACGTAAGATATTAAAATTTTAAAAATATTGCACTGTAATTAATTGACATTGAAAATTTTCGAATTATTTTAATTCAGTATATATACATTATGATTATTATTAAATAAACAATTACCACCGCATAACTATTTTAAGGGTACTTCTGTAAAAAAAATAATTTCCCTTTGAATATATAGAACTTTTAAAGCTTTTGAAACATAATTGTTTACGGCATAAAATAATATTAGGAAATTTTAGAACAGAAGTTTTTGAATGTTTGTTATCCAGGATCGTTAGTTCTTTACAGTTCTGCAATGGCCAACATTATTTCAGCAGGAATTCTCATCAAACACAATAATATTCAATGCAATAGGAAAGACAGGTCATTGAAATAAGTACACTCTCTTAACAAACCCCTTCCGGCAAAGGGACAGCTAATAGTTACTGGAACCCTTCCAAAATTAACTACCTTTTACACTTCGAATCGGAAATGAATTTCAATAAACTCCTTCTCTGACGAATTAACGACTCCCTAGCTTGATCTTTACTCTCCCAATCAGAAATGTACTCACACAGAAAAATTTATTCACGTCATCCACCAACACAATGTTCTGAAAATCCGAACACATATCTTTTTTTAACCTTAACCAAACCGGATTTCTTTTATATTCATTTGATAACGCTGTATACCATATTATTAACACTAATACACAAATACACTATACATTTGAGTTAAATGCATATACGAGTCCATATATAAAATGATTACTAATTACGTAGACATTTTTTCATAGCAAATTTTTTCTACTCTTCTTTTTACTTTTACTTCATTTTATTAAAAATCTATTTATATTTTATAATATAGAAGAAAAAGAACCAAAGTAGAAAATTTAAAGAATTATAGCTTTATGACATTAACATAATTTTTATTTTTTAATACAATTTCTAAAAATAAATTTTGAAAAAAAAAAAAAATATTAAGTGTCAAAATATTCTCTCACCTTGTAGCATAAAAAAGTGCCGATGATAGCTGCTAGTATAATAAACACGTAAAATTCAAAAGAGATGTTGAATTATAATTGGAATAGAAATAAATGTCATTTCGAAATTTTGAACTCAGAATAAAAAAAAGAAATTAATTTCTGATTCTATAATTTCTGAACAAAACAAAGACCGTCATTATTTTGGAAAAGACTCAATTTTTTTTTTTTTTTATTTTTAAAAATATTTTTATGCATTTTATATTTTATTGCAATAATAAATTTTCGAAATTTATAAAAATTTCGAAAAACACAAAATATTTAATTGAAAACAACAGAAAAAAAAAATTAAATAAAAAATTCAAATCGATTTTTTTTTTTAAGTACTCTTAAAAAACTGCATCAGTTCTTTGTTTAAAAATTTTTTTTTGAATGTATTGCCGATGAGTAGGTAGGCAGGTATTTCTTCAATAATAATCTTGTTTTAAACATCAATTGAAACAAAGGAAAATATTGTTAATATTCACGAGCTACAAAATTAAAAAAATGACATGACAAAAAAAAATTATATTTAAATATATTTTTAAAAAATAAATAAAAAAAAATTAAAAATTTGTTTATCGAAGGCAAAGCTATCGAACCTATAAAATTGTGTCAAAATATTGGGACAACTAGAGGTTAAAAAATATTAAACAAATCAATTTGATATGCATGGTAATAAATTGCTGCACACTTTTAATTTTCCAAATATATTATTCGAAATTATATTTTCGTAAATAACGGTTCACTTATATTTTTATTTACGAAAATATAATTTCGCATAAACATTGACATTCGTTCGTAATTTTTAAATTTGTCATAATTTTTTTTACGACTAAAATTTTTCAATCAAGTTTGTGAGTTTTGAATTCAAACAGCATTGGTTAGCAAACTTTCCAAAAAGCAAACTTTTGAAAACAAGTTAAACAAGCAATGAATTCTAATAGATATAAGGGAGTGCCTATCATATAATATAATTTCTAAATCCGGAAATTCTATGATATCGAATATAATGAGGAATATGTCAGTCACCAGTCTACTTGAACATTTGTTTGTAATTTTGTTCGTATTTTTTCCTTGTTAAATCCGCTTGTATATCAACCCAAACCTAAAATAAATATTAAAATAAAAATATTACTTACTATTCTCCATTTATCGTAAATCTTTACTAGAAAATATTCCAAAAATTGCCGTCTTAACTAAGGAAGCAAAATTATCAATTTGAATTTATTCATTCCTATTTTATCGGTTCAAGTATTCATACCTCAAACTAAACATAAGTAATTTTAATATTAAATTAAAATATTGCTAAACGTTCCTTGTCATATTTTTGAATAACTAAAATCATCAGCTAAAGCTAAATCATCATATGTATACCATATTATAATCTTATAAATATTTTGAATATATAAAGTGCAAAGTAAAAATAATATTCATATAAATACATCCTTGAAGGAAGGTCAAACTAAGAAAAAAAACTAATTTTAAAAAAAAAGACACTTTCTCTAATGATATTTAGCCAAAATAGATGAAGGATTTTAATGCAACCACCTTCTTCTCATTTTATTTTCCTTGCTTTTTTTTTTTTTTAACAAAATATTAGTTCAAGTATATTCAAATTACTTAAAATATTTAAGTTTTAATGAGCATATAAGTGTGCAACCATATTTTGGTTTGACTAACATTTCTAATGTGCATATTCATAGTATTTTAACTCTATATAATATACAATTTATATACTAATTAAAAATTTTCTAAATTCAAGTTTACTATATAATAGTTTTATAATCATTGCAATACTATGTACACGTGCTGTATGTATTATATATATTCTATAACATTCATTTGTTGTTGTATAGTTAGACTAGCCGACTAAGTTACATGATAATGAAATAAAAACTATGAAAATTTCCGGTGGCGGTAATTTTTCGTGTATTTTAGAATATAGGAAGTCTAATAAAAATTTTATAAGAAAAATTTATTTTTCAGTTTTACCGAATATAACAATGATATTGCAATCAAGTTCTTCTTATATGCGTGACTTGAATCTAGAACTCGAAATTTTCTTTAAAATCGGATTGATTGAATGAGTGTTGTCAAAAATGTTTTTTTCATAATCGATTTTTCACTATTTTTAATTTATTTACGATATTTATAGCTTTATTATGATACGAGTGAATGTCAGCCACTCTTTTTATAGTCACTTTTAAATTGGAAATCTCGTTCTTTCAGATCTTCTCATTTTTATTTAAAACATTAACTGAACTTTCAAAAACAAAATGCTTCTCACTTGAAAAAAAAATCTTCATTTGAAGAATTCATTCATTTATATGAATACATGATACTCACTTGCAATTTACTCACTGAAATTTTTTCTCATTCGGTTGCATAAGTTCTTACAAAATTTGATTTCACACAGTGTTAAAATTATTATATAATACTACAAAAATTTTAATTTTTCATTACATTAACTTAAATGCTTACTATTCCATGGATCATGAATTAAGAAGAAATTTTATATGAACACAAACATTTGCCCAAAATTATGAGATGGTCTTAAAATAAAAATTCTGTCTACATAATATTTTCGATGTATGAGTTCTATGCAAGTAGTAGAAGACTATAATTAGTTAACCGTTTCGTTTTTAATGCAATTAATGTAATTCAATCAATTGATAAAAATATTTAAATTTTGACTTTTTTTAAATTTTAAAGATTTTTAATGTTCAAATTCTCCAAATGTGTTTTGGACTAAAATTAAACTATTGTAGCATACTAACGGCATCGTCCCGATTTCTTTTTCAGTATGCTAAAGGAATTGCCAAGCGTTTCCTTCCTACTCAGTTTTGGATTTGTACATAAGATTTGTTACAATAGTTTTATTGGTGAAATTTACCATTTTTATCGGATTTTTTACTTGATTATGAAAATTTGTTTATCATACTAAAGGTGTCCAATAGATTTTTTATTGATTTACTAATTTTGATCGTGTTTTCTCTGATTAAAACTTAAACTCCACAGAATACTATCTTAGAGTATAATCAGACATACTAATTTTTTTTTATAAATGTTACCAACACAATTTTATAATGTAAGAACCTTGTACCTTAAACAAATCGTGTATGATATGTAAGTTTTGCGCAATGTTTGGGTTTTTCACTAATTTTACAAATGTAATCACTTTTCTAAATGCATTTTTATTCAGACATAAAAAAAAACACAAATATTCATTTTATCCAGTTGAAAACGGAATTCCATATAAAAAACATCTCTTATTCTGAGATCTAGAAATTAGGAAGGGTAGAAATTTAAACAAAATTTTGAAAAATAAATTAACAAAAAAAAAATGATTAAAATAATTAAATATTACACATTATTATTAATTTTAATTTACATTAATTCAATTAATTGTACATTGGATTTAAGTAAATATCAAGGTGATGTTAATGTATTAGAAATACTTGGTTTTAAACCACAAATTGAAGAAAAATTAAATGTATTTACACGTTTACAAAAGAATTATAATAATAGAAATGCACGTTATTGGAAAAATTCAAGTGATATTATAATATTAAAATCATTTACATTAGAATGTATATTTCGTATTGATTATACAATTAAAAGATTTTTAATGTCAGCAAAAGAAAATCGTTTTCGTATATTTTCATTAGAAGATATTGAAAATTCAAAAAATGTTATTGAAGTTGGTTTAAAAACAGTTGATGGTCATATTAATTTTTATACAATGTCAAAAACATTTGATGAAATAAAACGTGATGAATATTATTTAATAAAAATATATAAATTAGATCCAGATGAATGGTATAAATTAGTTGTAACATATGAGAATGGTAATGTTGAATATTGGGTAGATTGTTATCGTAAAGAGACATTTGCACAAATATTTCCAACTGAATTATCAGTACATTATTCTAAAACACAAAAAGCATTTAATTTTAATATTGGTTTATCATTTAGTATTGATAATCAAAATATTATTCAAAATGATTTTGGAAATGTAAGTAAACATTTTATAAAATTAAATATAAACTAAATAGTCTGAAATTGAAAATTATTAGGGTATTAAAAAAAAAATTTTTAATTTCAATATTTTACTTCCAAAACAAATTCAATAAAATCATTTGGATTTCTTAAGTTTAATACGAGTATGTTCGGAAATAATTAAAAAAACTTTAATAACTTCTATTTCATGACTATTTTATTAAAATTTTCTTAAAAATTTTTTTTTCCATACTTACATTTTTCTCTAAATTTAATTCTAGTTTGATATTAAAAAGATGATGTTCTATACTGGATATTTTCGACCATACGAAACAGATTGCAGTGAACGTCCAACTTAAAAATTATAAAATATTTACTTAAGTGCACATAATATTTTTGATCTTAAAATATTATATAAATATCATAATTTTAAATATTTAATTAATTATAATATTAGTATAATAATAATAAAAAAATTATTCTTAAATTTAATTAAAGAAATAATTAAAAATTCTACTGAAAATTGTAAGAGAATGAAAATAAATATATTTTATATTTAAAATTTTCCTGGGAGAATGAAATGTGTGAAAATGGAATCAAGTGTTATATTAAATATAGAGTAAATTGTATTAATGTAATTATTGTATTACTTAATATTAGGAAATAATTTCTCTAAATTATTATGTAAATTATTTAAAATAAATAGTAAAAATACACAGTAATTATTTCATTGTTTAAATTTTTGATTGCAATATATAAATCACACTTTAATTCAAATACTTAAATTTGATTATCGAATGAAATCTGGAGGATTTAACAATACTTAGACAAAAGGGAAAGAAACTAGAATCAAATATGAAACATGTACTATTTAAGCACTAGATGTCAAAATTACTTCGGCTTTGTATTTGATTTTGTAACTCAGCATTTTCTTGTTCGTTTCCACATAAATTTTTCACATACTACTCGTAGTACATAAAAGATTTCATAAATTATATTGAAATTTTTCATAAAGAAATTTTTCAAGTATATGCAAAAAAAATTTTTTTTTTTTTTTTACCAAGAGGAAGGGTGAAAAATCTCGAAAGACACTGCCGGACGAAAAGCAGTAGTGTGGAACTTTAATCCACTAAAAAACACCCTCCTCAAAATAAACTATAAAACTAGTCGGAAACGACTAACTCTAATCTTTTTGATTATTTACAAGCTTTTGATCTGGCACAATAGCGTACTAAGCACTCATTGCCCCAGATAAAAAACCTTTAACTAACTCGAGAGGTGTCGTACGATTAAGTCTCCTAACAAAGTTTTCATTATCAACCAATCGAGCCGCCTCAATGTTGACATGATTGGATTAACGCATTTTATGATTGGCTGCTTGCTTTTTAATTTCATCTGTGACACTTAGGATCGTGAGATCCCTGTGTATATCGGCATTACGAACATACCAGGGGGCGTTTACAATGTCTATTCTGAAATCTTTGTATAGATTGGATATAAGTCTGCGCAGCGCAGCCCCATAACTGAATACCGTAAGCCCAGACAGGCTTAAATATTTGATTATATATCAAAACTTTGTTGTATATTGTCAATTTAGAACGCCTCCCCAAAAGCCATTCAAACTTTCTGTATTCCTCCTCTAGTTGAGATCTCGTTTTCTTTATGTGCTCCTTCCATCTGAGCTTAGTGTCCAACGTCATTCCCAAATACTTCGTCGTGTTTGCGGACGGAATAAAGACACCGAAAATGAATTGTCAATTTTCCTATTAGTGAAATTTGTGTACTGATTTCACCTGATTGCAATTTCTGTGTAGATTCATTTTCATTCCGTCCTATTGCGATAACTGCTGTATCATCAGCAAATGTAGCTGTTGTCACTCCTTTCGATTCAGGAATATCACCTGTGTATAGCAAGTACATATAAAAAATTTGTAATATTTAAATATTTTTAAAAAATTGTAAATTTTGTAGCTTTATTATGCATGGTAAATTCCCTAGCATTTGCTGTATTATTATTTGCGGCGAATGGTTTTAATCACCACCAATTTATGCAATGCGACAGCATTGTACAATATTGAAAGTATTTAAATGTATAAATTTTCACAATAAAATTTTGCACATTTTTGACAAATTCGCTTACTTGTCCCATCGTTATTTCATTCACCAGATTTTTTATCGAATTCGAAGAAATATGACGAATTTGCCATATGTAATTGGCTAACTGTCAAGTGCCCTTTAATTTACGAAGATTTTTGGCATTTCGTTCCGGTTAGCCAAACCTGTTAGGAAAACGCAAACCTGCAAACGATCTCTGTATGACCTCATGTCTTCCATCCATCTTCTTTCTTCATGCCCAGCTTTGACAAAGAACAGTCGGAGATGCCTTGGGTCATTTTGTTTTTGCGAATTATGGACACGTTGAATAGACCTTAGCGGTGTCATAACGAGTCAATCTGTATATTACAATAGTCACGTCAACCTAACTTAACCTAAATTACTAAACTGTTATATTGACTAAATTTTTCAGTAAATTCGCCATACATAATAAACTTATTAATAACAAAAATATTTTCATCTTATATTGTCATAATGTGAATGGTTATTATTGTGAGTGTGAGCAAGTGTACATGAAGCTGAACAGCACAATATTTTTTCTCAATAAATAATATTAATATTAGAATCTGTTTAAATTCTGGATGAAATTTGAACTTGAATAACTTGGTTTTATTATATTATTAAATTTTTTCTTAATTTTGAAAAATAAATTTTAAAATGCCCCTTTAACATTTCGGAAAAGAAAAACTCAAACTTAACACAAAAATACTTGTTTTTTTTTCTAAATTTTAAATAGCTTTGAATATTTTATAATAAACTTTCAAAAACATTAATAACATTTTTTGTGAAAACATAAACATATTTTCTTACACCACATCCATAAAAACCAACAATAATTGTAAAATTTTTTACAATTTCATTCAATCAAAATTAAATTGTAAAATATTTATTTTTAATAAATAAATAATTTATGAGGAGTGAAGCAAGCATCTGAAATGCCTGCTGCTTCAATTGAACGTTTCTCAATTTTTTTCAATTTTGTTTATAATTACATATATGTATGTATGTACATGCCTTCCCCAAACATGTATTTCAAGATCAAATTGTTACAATGAAAAGTTTACAAAATTTACATACATAAGTACAAAAAAATGAAAAAAAAGAAATTGAAAATTCTTTTTAAATTTTTTTTATTTTGATAAACTCAAAGAGTTTTTTTTTTTTTTTTAATTTCTGAAAATACAAAATTTTCTAGACTTTTTTTAAAAACAAAAATTTATTTGTAATTGGCATTTAATTTTTCAAAATGTTTTGTGTTATTTACAAAGTTAGTATCGAACAAAAATTACTTTTAAAGAGCACATTTTTCGCAACCGAGAATGGGAACTTTGAAATTTTTATAGAATTTGTAGAATAAATATGTTTTGAATAACAGCAGTGCCTACATTGAATTACCTTAATTATTTTTTCCAGTCCTCATCAGAAAAGTGTAAAATTGCTGAATTATTATTAACAGCAACATCAATATTATCTCTAATTAGGTCTATGACCCTGTTGCATATACATTACATATATACATGTATTTATATTTTAGATATTCTTATTTAAACAAAAAACCCTAAATCAGCCTTCGCTAAAATGCAACCCATTCATAACTTAAAAATGCGGCCCATCATTCTGCTTGCAAGAAAAAGAAAATATTCTATTGCGATTGTCTAAAATTGAAAAATTAGATACAATAAATTTGGTTAGAAAAGCAAACTAATACAGGCGCATTATGAATAAGGGCATTGAAACGTTTGTTTTTACGAAAATACCATACCATTGCCGATTTTAATAAAACATATTGCATGCAATAAGTTATATACAACATGTTTATATAACACATTACATTCTGTTCGAAAATAATTTCAAACAAAATAAAATACTCCATTTTATTTCTATAAGTGGTTTCTAAAAAATTTTCATAAATTTATTTTAAAATTCAAAATTTATAGATTTTATTTTTGTGATAAACTAGCAATAAGGCAAACAAAAAAATCAATTTTGTATAGCAAAAAGTAATTGTAAATTGTTTTCTTCAATGATGTTATATGTTGTTGTTCAGACAGTATCAAACTTTTTAATAACAAAATTCCAATAGTATAATTACTATACATATAAAATGTATACCTATACTTAAAATATTACATAAAACATGGCTACTTGTTGATTTATTGGATGAAATTTAAATATAGAATATCTAATTAGAAAATTTGAAAAATTAATCATTTTGGCTCTAGAGTTCATTGTGAGAAATGGCGAAGTGAGAAACAAAGGGAAATTTGTTTAGGAAAAACACTCCGAATCTAGTATACACCGATGACGTCACTATTATATCAAAGAATTTAACGGCGTTGAGGGAGAATTTTAACAATTTAAAGAAAGAATTAGGAGCTCTTGGACAACATATAAATATTGATAAAACTAAATACATGTGTACCACAAAAAGAGGTATTAACCCAAATCAAGATTTGACGATTGGCGAAACGTAAATAGACAGGGTCGAGAGTTCAAAGTACCTGGGTGCAATAGTTACGAGCAAAAATGAAATATCGGTGGAAGTAAGTAACAGAGTATTACAAGGTAATAAAGCGTTTTATGCACTGCGTTCGCCGTTCACCTCTCATCTTCTTCCACAATAGCTGAAGTTCAAGCTCTATAAAACACCTTAATAAACTTAGCAAACCAGTAGAAATGTATACTACTGAAGCATGGTTAACAACGCAAGAACAGGAACAGGCCTTATTACGCCTGGAACCCAGAATTTTTAAATCTATCTTCGGCCCTGTACGTGATGGTGATGGAAACATAATTAGGATAAATCACAAATTAGTAAATCTGGTTGGTGAAACAATCATTGATTCCGTTAAATCGGGTCGCATAAGTAGGTTGGGCCACGTTAACAGAATAAGTAATCGGGGCACATAAAAGAAATTTTAAATAATAAACCCATTGACCAAAGATCAGCAAGTACACCGGAAATAAGATGTTTAGGAGATGTAGAAAAAGATATACGAAAGCTGGATATTAGCAATTGGAGGACAGTCAGTGGGGATCGGGACAGATGGCGAGAAGTAGTGAAGGCGACAAAATTTCTTCGAGGGGCGTAAGACCAGAGAGAAAATAAAATTAATTTATTAAAATAAAATCTAGTATATTATTATTTCGTGCTTGTATAATTGAATTTTACTTATTTTTTTGATAAAATTTTCCTCTCAATCTTGGTTTTACAGTGGATTTTACTGTGCTTTACTTAGAACAACGACTGCAAATTTTAATTCCCAAAACTGTCATTATATTTGGAATAAGTTCACTTTTATATATTATAATTCGTTATATATACATTTTTATTATTAAGGAATTTCGTAAATCATAAATACTAAATTGTTTTAATAAAAATAGTTAAAGTTTTTAATAAATAGTTATAAAGAAAAATTTCCTTCAAATATTTTTTCTAATCTAGTCTAATTTCAACAAATAAACCAAAAACGGAATTGTCATTAACCATGAAAATAACCACTACATTAAGAAGATTTTGATTCTACAATAAAAATGCAAAAAATTCTTAAATTATCAAAATGAATGTTGAATTTTTTTTTTTGTTCCTAAAAATCAATCTACCCACTAGCCATGTCAATCATTTTTACATTTTCAAAATTCTTCGTGTTGGTTTACCATCATTTAAACACTTAAAAAGCTCTTTATCTAAACCGCAAAATATTCTGTATACACATTGCAGCTATATAGTTTTCAAATGAAAATTTTCATTTTTTTTAATAAAGACTCATATAAATTGAAAAATATCCTTGAAAAATATCCTTGAACAAGGTTATTTAAAAATCATTTTAATAAGAAAAACAAAAAAATATGTCATTTATTTATAACTGTATAAAATTTATTGTCAAAATTTAAATGTCAGAATTAAGAAAATTTGAAAAAGAATAAATTTTTTTTCTTTCAATCAATTACTTTTTTTTTTTCATTCTAATTAAAAATATTTGAAGGGACAGAGCTAAAATTTCAAAAGAAAGTAGTTAATGATAATTTCAAAGAAAGAAAAAAAATTTTATTTTGTTTTATTAATTTTTCCTTTCGTTTATTTTTTAAATTTATTTACCTTTTTTCCTTTTCTTTTTCTTATTTTTTTTTTAATAGAAACGCGCCTCCCGTCGTGCATCAATGCGACGTGGTTCCATTTCAGCGTTACCAACAAAAACACATGAAATTCCATGGGATGTTTTGGAACGTTTAATAATGCCATTTATGTTTTGTCATGCTGCTGCCATCATCCTTTCAGTAATTTTACATAGTTTTGAAATATCAACAGCATCAACATTTGCAATTTTCTTATGGTTTGCAATTGCTACAGTTGGTGCCGTATTATTTTATCATTTCGTAAAGGTAAGTCAATTATTATTCTCTTAAAAATAATATTTAAATAATATAATTCTAATTTTTTATTGTTATTATTACTGTTAATTTCCTTTATACATATCCTTTTTCTTCCTGTTTGCTTATAAAACAAAAAAAAAAAATATTATAAAAATAAAGGACAATGAGAGGAAATTTAAAATAATTTCAAGAAATTTTATTCATCTCTTGCGGTGTAATTTTTATGATTGAAATTTAAAACAAATAATTTGGTTTTTTTTTTTACTTTTTAAATTTATTCAAATGGGTTGCGTATGTAAATTAAGATAAAAAAAAAAAGGAGGAACCCTTATGGTTTCGTTGACTAGCATATTTTGACTTAAATAATTTTAGACTAGCATATTTTACTTATATATGCCTTGATTTAGGCTTAAATAATAAAAGCATTTCCGTATTCAACAAATTATCCATAATAACCATTCCAAAAATCATCACAATTTTGAGAGGAACAGAATTTTTGAAAAAAATTTTAAATTCCAACTTTTATAGAAATTTAAAATTGTTAGTGTCGAAGCAATATGTGACCGATGATGTAGGTAAATTTATATTTTGAAAAATTTTAATGATACTAATTCGGAAACAGAAGGAACTTTTGTTATTTCTTGTTATCTATTGATAAACTTTTAAAATTTATCTCCATTTTTACCAACAGGTACATGCAATTAACACAGGTTTTTTTTATATAAATCGAAGTATATATTTAAGTGCTATAAATATTCCTTTTTTATCGATAAAAACTTAGTTATTTCTTCATTCTAAATTCGAATTTGGCAGATCTAACAAACCGTAATTTAGAAGATAATAAAATAATTTTTTAATAAACAATTCGCTTTAATTGTCATCCGGTTAAAGTTATCGCTGTCTTTTAATTTATAACAATTTAATCTTTTAATTTTAAAATATAAAATTTTTACAATAATTTTCATTATATTTTAGCATATATGCATAAGAAACAACAAAATTATTTTATGTAAGGGTATGTTTTCCAAATATGTACACATTTACTTGTCCCACATATACCCAAGTAGTATTAAATGACACATTTTTTCATAGTCTTATAAAATTTAATTCCCTTTATTAAAAAAAAAAAAATTTATTCAAATTATGCTTAAATTTAATTAAAAATATTTTTTATTAAAATTCATACTTTTATAATATTCTAAAAAAAAAAAAAATTCTTCGTATGATATTATATCCGAACTATCAAAAATAATTTTCTAAAAAGATATGGAACTAATAATAATACCTACAACCATTTTATATTACACTTCCACCTCTCTTCAATTTCATTACATATCATTTTTTCTTATATTTTTTCTGTAAATATTATGTAAAATGCAAAACCACTTCAATATGAAACTGAAAGCAAAAAAAAAAAAAAACAAATATTTAGAGCATCTATAAAACACCTACGCTTTAATAAACATCAAGTTCCAGAAAATGTATAACATTTTCAACATTTTCAACATTTTTAAATAAACAGCGGAAAAAAAAAATATCAAAAATAAAATAAAGAAACTATACGTTGAAAAGTGTCATAAAAAACCAAACTGGAAGGATATTTTCATAATGTTATAAAAGTAAAAAAAAAAAAAAAACTGGGAAAAGTTAAAAAATTTTTTTTTTTTTTTTTAAGAAAATATAAGACAAGCAAGTAATAAAAATATAAAATAAAAATAACGATCATTTTATTTAATAAAAACAAAAGGAAAAATTTTCGCAAATGTTATTAACAAGAAAATGGAGGCAAAAAACAAAAGAAATATGAAAATTTTTTTTCAAAATTCAAATACCGCAACTTCAATCTTGTCTTTTTTGACGGTCTCATCCATTACAATTTCTTATTTAGAGAAAATGCATACTAACTCAGTGTTGATAACACATAAGAATTCTAAGAAAGATTTTCGAATTTCACAATAAATTTTTAAGGGTTCAAAGAAAATATTTATTTTGTAATATTAAGTAAAATTTAGTTTCAAATGATTTGTTTAACAATTTTAAATATTAAATTTTAACCTGCGTTCACTCAATCTAGGATTTTTGTTTTTAAAGAAATCTTGTATCTAAATCTTTTATAACTTAAGGCGAAAAAATTTGTATTTACTTTTGCATTTACTTTTCACGATTCAGAGTAAAATTAGGTCTAATTAACTTTTATCGGCATGTAAATATGATGACAAACTATATAATATTCAAATACTTAATTAATTGAACCATTTAACAAATTAGAAATAATTCTGTTTACCCCGATAGAAAATTAGGGCTTCGTAATTTTCTAAATAAACGGCTTCAGAAGGTTTCAGTTAAATTAAAGCTTTAATAATTAAAAAAAAGTTTTAGAATTGAAAATGAAGTTATGGCATTATACAGTTAATTGTTCTATAATAAAATGAGGCGGTAATCACATATATAAATAACATTAGAATTCCGACCGTAAATAATCATTACCGATAGCATTTTGGTGTCATACTGTTTATAAAATCTTTTATATTTTATATCGTAATATAACAAAAAAATAAAAGGTTTGTTCCTTCATAATTTCCGGTGTATGTATTTTTGTTTCAATTTTTTTATTTTTTTTCATAATTTTAGCAACCTTCGTGCCACTCGTATTCTTTAAATTTTTTGATATTTCTTTTAAATTTTCTGACATTTTTTTTCCGTTCTTGCAATTCCTTTTTTTTTTTACTATCTTCAAATAAGCTTTTTTTTTATTTTTCTTTTTGTTTTTTTTTTTTTATAATATTTTTAAAAATCTTGTCATCTTTACTATATGCACATAAATTCAAAGGCATAAACTAATAACGATATCAAATTTTTATTCCTAGAAAGATTATTTGATGTTATACACGAAATATTATATAAGAAAATGTCGCGTGTTTTGTTGCCGAGAAAAGGTTTAAAAATTTTCATTAAATAATAAGACTTTGCTTTATAATTACGATTTGAAATTTTAGTTTTGTTTTTAGAATATCTAAAAGATATATGTGACTACCAATAGAACATTGTTAGTTTTTGGTGAACAGCTGAAATGTTGTGAACATATAAAATACTAGAAATTATATATTAAATATTTTTTAATTATGGTTCGCACGGATGCGTTCGCACGGATACGTTCGCACGTATATATGATTTAGTCAAGGGTAAAAAAAAATTATTTCAATAAAATATTAATTATCTGACTTTGAAAACAGTGATTTAGCGATGCAGTTCTGAAAAGAACTGTAGTGAGGCTGTGGCTCTTTACTGGTCTTACACTGCTACGTGTTTATAAATAATAGTATTGGGAATTACAAGGGCAGATGAATTTGGGAGACATCAATATTACTAAAAAGATTAATGACAAACACCCTCTGTCAGCTTAAAAATTATCTTAAGAAGCTGAAACTTGAAAGAGCTCCTATCAATAATTGATAATTATTATGGTGCAGTTATTGGAAGTTGAAAAAATTCCTTTTTCTCTACACCCTCATTTTGATAATAATAAAACAACACAATAATTTACAATACTTCTGATAAGAGGGTAACCAGTTTGATCACACTAATCAAGCAAATTTACCTAAACTTTTTGTAATTTTCTTATAACAACTTCAAAATTCAAATTTATCAACCAATAATTTTTTTCCCTATAGTTCTCAAAGTGGCCATTAAAGGGTTAAACATGACACTAATTTATATAACTAAATTATAAAAGATTCCTTTCGGTTACTTTTTAGCATGTTTGTTTCCTCTTCCTATTTCTTGCCATTTCTTGCCATTATTTTAAAATCCGCTTTGAACAAGGTACGAAATTTTTTTCACATTTTTTTTATCTCTTCACAGTTTTGTACTGTAGAGATTTTCTTTTTTTTATTAACTATAAAATAACATTGAATCAAAATGAAAAATAATAATTTTCTAATTCAAAGAGGACGCGTTATGTTTAGATGGAAATGTAGGAGAACATATGAAAAAATACATAAGTAATTTACGATATACTGCATAGTATAAAGGCTTAATTATATTTAAAAACCGAAATGGTAAAGTCGGTTAAAAGTGTAGGGGTACGTTTGTTATATTTTAAAAATTATTCCGTCAAGTTAGTTTTGTTGTAATATTCATTTTTAGAAACGATAATTTTATTTTAAAAATTCGTAATCTTTGAAAAAGAGCAATGGCAACTTTGCATGTGATCAGCAGTCTTATTCCTGTGCAAATCAAATTTAAACAAATAATTCCGTACAAGGCCCCATGTGAAAAGTATGTTTTGAATTATTTTTATATTTTAAACAAGAATTTGCATAACAATTATTTTTACCAAACTTGTATTACTCAGTAATGTAACCGTGCGTCTTACAACCTCAAAGTTATTCTGCTCAACTGATCAATTTACTTTGATTTACATAATGTTATTTAAAAATTTTTAAACAAGTAGATTTTAATGAAAATAGTTTTTTAAACCTAATTTTATATTTAATTTGAATAAGTTACATATTAAAACAAACGTATATACATATGTGTATAACAGCTATACACATATGTATGTATATTATATTGCTCCGATTCTGTTAGAAAATTGAAAGCATATTTTCAATAAAAGATTCTTTTAAAAAAAGACAAGAAATGAAAAGTATAAGAAAATTTTGCTGTTCACAGCAAAAAAAAACAAAAACACATTATATACATGAATATGTAAATATATAATTATGTATAAACGTATTTATTAATATGTATGTATATAATCAGTATATTCTATTTTTTAATAGAATACAAGAAAAAAATTCATATAATTTGGTAAGATTTTATCGCTGTAAATAGTTTGAATATTTTTGTAATAAAAATTGAAAATTTATGACATTTAGAATTTAAATTTTTTTTTTCTTCTTTCTTTTTCAAAAAAAAAAAAAAGCATCCTTTAAAAAACCTACATACCAATTTTTTTTTTTTTTATTTAAAGGAAAGAGAAATGTTAAATATTATAACTATTAAGG